TAGTGGAGACAATACACATAAAATGATTGAAGATTTTAGATAGCTTAGAAATTAAAAAATGAGTTATATAGATCACTACCAAGCTACATATGAAATATGGGTTCAAATTATCAATTCCGATCTGTTATATAATTCTGTGATTTTATGTATGTTAGTGGATTCTCTAATCATTACATTAGAAAGTGTGATCAAAATAGTTTGATAAAAAATCAGATTTGATAGATGAAACTGAGAAGAGACAAAATACGAAAACAAAAAATGATTAGGATAGTAAAGGGTTTAGGAATTCATGAATACACGATATATAATTTTTAATATGTTCAAGCTTGTAATTACATATGAAAAGTTTAGGAGATTCTCATCAATTCTATTTTTTCTTAAAATGTGTATCTTTTTATATAAGTCTGGAAATTTGGGTCAAGTTTGTAGAGAAACAAGTTGAAGGACCACAAACACGTTCACCTACATTTTTATATATAAACAGAAAGCTGTCTTGGACAAAACTTAAGATTGGATATATACAAACAAATTAAGCAAATGTATTGCATCCAAATCAACACAACAATAATCCATAAGTCTCTTCTTCATGGTTTTACACATCAGCATTTTCAAGCTTTTAGGAGATGACACTTCAGCAAAAAAATATACCAATAAAAATATTTCATTAATACAAGTCATCAATATATTTTAACTTTTAAATTTAAACCCATTAAAAATCCAAATATTTTTTATTGTTAATTTTAGTTTTATTTTTTGGTCAAGCCTAAGCCCAAATAATAAATAACAGCAAATAAAAAAATTGTTTTATTTTTTTGCCAAACCCAAATAATAAATAACAACAAATAATAAAATTAAATCTTTATTTTATATTTTTGCCAAACCAAAACTCAAATAATAAAAAACAGCAAATAAAATAAAATTTTTACCTATGTGTTTGCTTGATAGATACATATATGATTAAAGAAAGTGTAGACTCATCATCAACAATGCTTCCATAACAACAATGCAAAAAGCGTTATGTTATAAGAAGCTCACACATCAGCAAAAATTTGAACCAATAAAAACATAGCAATAATACATATTATTAACACACTAATAAAATCAAGTTACTATTTTGCTGACCCATTAAAAAGCCCAAAGTTTACAAAAAAAAAAATGGAAGGCGAAAGCAAATGAGGAGAAACTCAAACCACTACAGCTTGGAGATTCACATTTCCACTGGTTACCGTAGAGAATTTCTTGGTTTTGATAGAAAAATGTGATTTTCAGTTTTGGTAGAAAAACATAGTTTCTCGGTTATGGCGGAAAAAAACGAATTCTCGGGTTTGGTGGAAAAATGTGAAATTTTGGTTTTGGTGAGAAATAAAAAATTTGATTTTGACGAGAAAATGCAAGGAAAATGCAACTTTACAATTTTGACGAAAAATACAATTTCTCGGTTTTGATAGAAAATGCAATTTTTCGACTTTTGATGGATAATATAATTTCTTGATTTTTGCGGAAAATTGTAATTTGACAATTTTGGTAGAAAATGCAATTTTTCGGGTTGATAGAAAAGCAAAATTTCTCGATTTTGGCGGGAACAAACAATTTCTTGGTTTTGATGGGAAATGCAAATTTTCAGTTTTTGACATATAATTTGATTTTTTGGTTTTCGAGGGAAAATATAATTTCTTAGTTTTTGCGGGGAACACAATTTCTCATGAGATAATGCAATTTTTTGGTTTTCGCAGAAAATTATAGTTTATCGGTTTTGGTAGGAAGACATGATTCTTGATTTGACGAGAAAAATAATTTTTTCTTGTTTTGGTGGGAATAGATGATTTTTGCGGGAAAATATCTTTTTGGTTTTGACGGGAAAATACTATTTTTTGTTTTTGCAGGAAGATGAATTTTTTTGGTTTTGGTGAAAAAACTTGATTTCTCTGTTTTAACGGGAAAACACAGGTTCTCGCGGGAAAATGTGATTTTTTGGTTTTTGAGGGAAAATGTAATTTCTTTGTTTTGGTAGGAAAATGAAATTTCAGGTTTGACGAGAAAATGAATTTTTTTGGTTTTGGCGGGAATATGCAATTTCTCAGTTTTGTGGGAAAATATATTTTTTTGTTTTGTCGGAAAATACAATTTCTTGGTTTTTGTAAAATGATAAAATTTCTCTGTGCTAATTTTCAAAGTTACAATATGTTTATAGTAACCAAAATTAAATTATTTAACTTCAACTAAATTGATATTTCAACAGTTCAAATAGAACTTTCTATTTAGTTTAAAAGTAATAGTAATAATTTTGATATGAATGTTATTGATTATAGTTTGGTAGTTTTAGAAACATATGTCTATAATAAATATTTGATAAACAAATAAATTTTATAGTTTAAAATAATCATATTAATTAATATTTTTTTAAATGGCAATTTGTTTTATATAATTTCAAAAGAGGATCAAGTAGCAATTTAGTAGAGATAATAAATTATATTTAGCATTAGCATGAAAGTACTTAAAAATGTATTGTTTTATTCTTACATATACATTTATAGATAGTTAGCTAAACAAATTTGATAGTAGATTATAATTTTAAAAAGTTAAAAAATTAATAATATATAATATTTATTCAGATTTAAAACATATAAATACATATTTTAAGCTAATAAAAAATAAATATAATACTCATTTACATTATAGAAATAATTTTATTATATTAAAAATATATATACAAATCTAGAAAAAATATCCCGCAGCATAGCGCAAGTAAATACCCAGTCGTTAATAATGACAGCAAATCCAGTTTGGCTGTTAAACACTAAAGACCAATCCACCTTAAGCTATCTTTTTAACTTTAACGAAACACATATTTATGAGTTGTAAACTAGATAGCCTTTGATAACTTTATTAATTAATTCTCAAACCTTATACCTAACAAGTAACACGCTTTTACTTACTTTTGCTTAGCTCAGTTCAATTGGTGGAAAGAAATGATACATTGTCTTTACGATATACCAAGTTCGATTCAAATGACTAGATTGAAAATTGTAGAAGATATATATGAGTCATCCAAAAAATTACGAAAATGAGAGATGTAGAATAGAAGTGAAAAGCTGGTGGGGTTCATCATATTGCGCACGAATGCCAAAACAAATCTAATTAGTCAATATACTTAGTGTTGGTAGGCAAATTCTTACATCATTCTTCTAAAATATTCTTTCTACTTTTCGTTATAAAGTAAATAAATAAATAAAATTCTCACAAATTCATTGAATCACATGACTTAAGTTTCATTTTTTTAATAGCATGATGAATCATTTTAGACTGTTTTTTTTTTTTGAAAAAATCATTTTAGACTGTTTCTCAAAAATATAAGTATTATATCTTACCATTTGAAATGTTTTACAACAACTAACAGAAATGATAAAACCTGATCTATAACTTTGATCAACATGACCATCAGTTTTCAACCATTAAACTATCATCTACTTCAGATCCTGGCATAAAGTTTCTTTTGTTAATTTTTGATGCATAAATTTGCGAACTATGTGGTTAAGAAAGGCACAAAGTGTGGCTCCATTCATCATGGACGAGGCATCTCCAAATCGCAGTGGTTGAATGAAATACATTTTTGGTAATTACGTTTACGTACGTGAAATGAATAAAAAAATTTCTAAACCCAAGCTTGTACCAACAGTTGAAGCTGAGATCTCGATGAGAAGACTTGAACGTGAGAATGACATTTGGGGGAAAAAAACTTGTTAAAACGCTCCGATACATACAATGATAGAATAATTTTTGTGGAAGAGAAGTTATCAAAGACACTCCAATACATTTAATTAATGATAGAACATAGAACAAGTATATAGTTTTTCTTTACCAATTCACACAACAATTAACATACCCCTTGTTGCTTTATAGTTTCTTAAATCTCATATTTTTTTGTGAGACCTCAACTCAAATACACTAAACTTTCATGGAGATGAGTATCATATATATATATATATATATATATATATATATATATATTTTTTTTTTTATCAAAATAATAATTTTTATTCACCGAGAATTGTTAAAGTCGGAATACATAGTACTTGTAAGCAAAAAATGCAGAAAATTACATCCAAAAACAAACAAAACATCAATCGGATCATGCTTAGTTAATACGTGGACTGCTTCATTATATTCACGCTTTATAAAATATAATTGATTGGAGGAAAATTTATTTGGCCATGCTCAAACATTATGTAAGAGAGGAGCATTTGACCGCAGTACTTTTGTTAAAATCTCATGTAAATTCTATGTAATTTCAGTAATGTCCCCTTGATTCTTTAAACAATTTCAATATTGCCTTCTATAAAAATAATTTCTATTTCTGCCCCTGCTGTAACATCATCTAGTAGATTAGAGATAAGAATGTCTCGATCATTATGTTGTAGTAAATGTACCAATGTCAGATAATCATCTTCTAAACTAATCTTTGTAAAACACATACTCTAAACATTTTGAAGTGTTAGAGCATCAGTAATGGTAATCTCAATAAATAGATTCTTAAAATATTTTATTATTAAATGAAAGATAAAGTTGTGAGAGTCAATTCTTAAAACTTCTCTATCAGAATCGATTCTTTAAAAAAATTATGCTACTTCATTTTTTTTTTTTTTTTCTTTTACATTCAAGAACTTCACTAAATCTCTCCATTATTAATAGAGCTTTGACTTCTGCCCGAAGAGGAGATGAGTATCATACATATTTGAATAACTTTAGGAGAAAAGGGAAATGGGTTTTTTAAGTAACATTAAATTGTTTAGGGTATATCTACATATTCCTCAATAGTTGAGGGATGTAAATACAATAACTACAGTAAGAATCCAAAGGTTGCGGTTGCGAGTTTAAGGAACAAGATGAACCATCCTCTCTCGTCCTCTGCCGTTCTCACTCTGCTTCATGAACTCGATTTCTCCATTTCCGATTGGATAAAAAAGGCATCCTTTTAAAAAATGTCCACCACATTGTTCAGGACAATTCAGCCAAACCAGTTCACACTTCTTGGAACTGCCTTGTTCAGAAGGAGAAAGAGGAGTAGTAATTTCTCCGTGAGGTGTTGCGGAAGCCAAACAGCCACGACCCATGAAGCTAAACAGACTTCTCAAAGGGTCGCGCCTAAAAACCATGGAAGCAACAAGCTTGACGAGATTCTGAGAGATTACGAAGCTGTAATCGGCATAGAGACTCATGTGCAGCTCTCGACATTCACAAAGGCATTTTGCAATTGCCCTAACAATTACGGGTCTCATCCGAACACAAGTATCTGTCCCGTTTGTATGGGTTTGCCTGGTGCCTTGCCTGTTTTGAATTCGAAAGTCGTCGAATTTGGTGCTAGATTGGGTTTAGCTTTGAACTGCGATCTGTCTCTCAAGTCCAAGTTCGATAGGAAGCAGTATTTTTATCCAGATCTTCCTAAAGGTTATCAGATTTCTCAGTTTGATATACCAATTGCGTCTGGTGGTTATGTGGATGTGGATATCCCGCTTGAGTTTGGTGGTGGACACAGGAGATTTGGTATCACTAGGGTTCATATGGAAGAAGATGCTGGCAAGCTACTCCACTCAGACACTGGAGATTACTCTCAGGTCAAAATTTTCCGTTTTGGTTTCTGATTTGGATGATATTGTTCATGGAAGGGTTTTAGGTTTTAAAGGGTTTAAGTAGAACATTTTACAGGAAGAAGTCAATGGAATGTTTGAATATGATTACTACTGTTTCATTATTACCTTCACGAATCTTTATACCTGTGTCTTCTTATAGCAAGCATGGGACTGCAGAAAGAAATGATTTTGCTTACATTTAAGGCTTGAGATGACCCGAATTTGTCTTATACTATATGAGATCATTGCTCTATGCAAACAGATTCTTGGTTTTGGGTTTCAGGGGTTTAAGTAGAACATCTTGCAGGAAGCGTCATTTGAATGTTTGAATATGATTACTAATGTTTCATATTTGTTTTCACGAATCTTTGTCCTTATGTCTTCTTATAGCAAGCATAGGATTGCAGAAAGAAATGATTTTGCTTACATTTTAGGCTTGAGATGACCAGAATTAGTCTTACACTATATGAGATCATTGCTCTATGCAAACAGATTCTTGGTTTTAGGTTTTAGGGGTTTAAGTAGAACATCTTGCAGGAAGCGTCATTTGAATGTTTGAATATGGTTACTGTTTCATTTTTATTTTCACGAATCCTTGTCCTTATGTCTTCTTGTAGCAAGCATAGGATTGCAGAAAGAAATGATTTTGCTTACATTTAAGGCTTGGGATGACCCGAATTAGTCTTATACTATATGAGATCATTGCTCAATGGTTACAGGTTCTTGGTTTTAGGTTTTAGTGGTTTAAGTGCAAGATATTTTTGTTTCTTATGTTTGGTTACTCTATGGTGCAGGTAGATCTAAACAGAGCAGGGGTTCCTTTGCTTGAGATCGTCTCTGAACCTGATATGAGAAGTGGGATCGAAGCCGCTGAGTACGCTTCTGAAATGCAACGGATTGTGAGGTATTTGGGAGTGAGTAATGGGAATATGCAAGAAGGATCTCTTCGTTGCGATGTCAATATCTCAATCCGTCCTATTGGGCAAGCTGAGTTTGGCACCAAGGTCAATAAGTTTCCTCCATTGCATCTCCTTCACTGATTCAACTCATTGCAAATTCAATTTGTCTCGTTGCTGATTCTGAGTTTTTTTTTAATTGTTTAACAGGTGGAAATCAAGAATTTGAATGCATTTTCAGCAATGAGCAGGGCGATAGACTATGAGATAACAAGACAGGCGCTTCTCTACAATCAGGGCCAAGCAGACCAGATTGTGACCGAGACTCGGCTTTGGGAAGAAGGAGCTCAGGTCCTAAAAAGCTTAAACACCATTCATTAGGTTTCTGTTTTTTGTTTGATCATATCCACAAGCAACTAACTTTGAGTAGAGATGTTCAGAAATCAGTAACAATGAGGAAGAAAGAAGGTCTTGCTGATTACCGCTACTTTCCAGAACCAGATCTTCCCGAAGTGATCCTCACACAAGAATACGTTGATAGCATCCGCGCTTCTTTACCGGAACTTCCTGAAGCTAAGCGTAGGAGATACGAGGCTATGGGTCTAGGCATGCAAGATGTGCTTTTCCTCGCGAATGACGTCAGTGTAAGTGTCCTGTTCGCTCCACATTGATAGTAACCTTATACATGGTATCTTCACAAGAAGGCAATGCTGAGTGCAAAAGGGTTAAACTTTAAACTGTTGTTGGAATGAAATGGCTTAGGTTGCAGAATTTTTCGATGCGGTTATTGCTAAGGGTGCTGAAGTGAAGTTGGCGGCGAATTGGATCATGAGCGATATTGCTGCTTACTTGAAAAATGAGGAACTTTCTATTAATGATGTTAAACTTACTCCGCAAGAGTTGGCTGAGCTGATAGCTGCCATCAAAGCTGGAACCATTAGCGGAAAGATTGGGAAACAGGTCAGTTTCAATTCACTCTAACCCTTAAATCTGTTATATTCTATTTAATTGGTATCTCTAAAATATGACCGATGCATCATCTTTCGCTTGGAATCAATGTGATTTATTCCGTTTTGCAGATACTATTTGAGCTATTGGCCAAAGGCGGAACCGTCCAAGGACTGATTAAAGCAAAAGACTTGGTTCAGGCAAGTCCATGCTCTTACACAAACTGTGCCCATAAAGGAGTTGAAGCCAGAGAAATACATATATCAATGGCTAGGTTTACCAAGACTGAACCAAGACTGATTTTTTTTTGCTTCTGTTGCAGATAAGCGATCCTGCAGAGATTGAGAAGATGGTTATAAAGGTGGTCTCGGAGAACCCAAAGCAGCTTGAGCAGTACCGAGGTGGAAGAACCAAGCTTGAAGGCTATTTTGCTGGCCAGGTATGGCAAATACGATCCGTCCGTAGATTGAAAACTAGTAACTTGTGAATCAGTTCAAAATCATAATATTACTTTGTTTTCAGGTTATGAAAATGTCAAAAGGTAAAGCAAACCCTGCCTTGCTTAACAAGATTCTCCTGGAGAAGCTCAATGCCAAGGAATGATTCAAGAAGCTTCCGCATTGGCAAGTTATGTACAAGCTTTGGCTTTTCATGTGGCTCTTGATTATAAAAGAGAAAAGATGAGAAGATGAGATTAGTTTGATGGAAGTGATGTCAATTATAATTGATCTTTAGAAAGTGATGTTCGAATCCTTATGATAAGAGGTTGATAGATTGATTCCATTGAATTGGTACAGAATGATTTTGGCTCAACAAGAGTGTTCTTTTACTAATTTCTTGTTTGCATATGAAGTAAATGGTGAAGTTTTTTGAAGGCAAAATAATGTCTACAACTCTTACTTTTGAGTCAGAAAAGGAAAAGAGAGCCTACATGTCAAAGAGAGAACATATCTAAGAGATAATATACTCATAAACTCAATGTAACAAGCAAATGTTACTTTTGATACAGTGCCAATATCAAGAACTTGAGCATATCTAATAAAAGGCTTTAGAGTTCATCGTGCCGGCGTTGTTGTTGAGGGATATTAACATTAGGAACTGTGTTTCCATCGAAATGTTGTCCTAAAGGCATAGCATCACCATTTGCTGCTTTTCCGGCCATTCGAGCTTTAATGGCAGCAGTAGCCATCTGTTGCAGTCTCAAGATTCCTATGCGCTTTGAAACAACGTAAACAACAGCGAGGACGAAGAGAGAAAACCCAATTATGAGGATCAACCTGTTGTTGATAGTGCCACAAGAACCACCGGAAAACAAAATAGAGTTCTATATTATTCACCGGAGGAGTTTTTTTGGTTACTTAATCAGAGAATTTATTCTTTTTCAAGTACCTGTCGATTACGTCTTGACGTTGCATTGTAGAAAGTAGATTACGAGTCCTCGACAACAAAGACCTGTGTCCTTTGTATTCACTCTCTGCTTTCTTAAGTACTCCAGTAGATTCATCTACAAATGTAAACAAATGAATAATGATGTCTCAACTGTTTTCACTAAACACTTAATCATATCAGGTAATATTGAATGACACATACCAAAAGCCACAAGTGTGTTTGTACTTCTCTCCACCTCCTGTAACCCCAAAAGTCAAGGAGAAAGTATTTGATAAGACATTTAAAACTTTTGTAATGAATTTTTCTGTTTTTGGGTTATGTGAATGCACAATCATAACTAGTTTTTCTGACCTGAACCATTAGCTGCCGTGAGCGCCTGAGACTTTCAGTTATGCTTTCAGCATCTGATGTCAAGCCAGCTTTTGCTCTACAAGCAACCAAAAACTTTAAGATTCATTGGAAGAAAACGAGATGTAAACGCAACATTCACTGGTTTCGACAAGAAACCCAAGTAAAAGGCTGGTTTTAACAGGGTTGAATGATATAAAAGAGTTTCCAAGTAGTAGACATACTGTCGTTTACGTCTGAGATCTGTGGACTCTGTTCCACCACCGAGGAGAAGCTCTCTCTGCAACCATTGTAACACACACTCTTTATACAAAAGTTTTTCAAAGGAGATGGCTTGGTGAAAACAGTATAAGAGAGAGAGTGCTTAAGCCATAAGAACTTTACCTCTTCTTGAGCTGCTTTCCTCATGTTATCCTTTGCTTGCAAATTAGCACTTCTCAAATTTACTCTCAAACTGACCACAAACAAAAAACAATCCAAAACCCAAACTTGCTAAATAACAAGACAATTTTTTTGTTTGCTTATATGAACAATACTTTTCATACCCTGTATCTGAAAAAATGTTTGACATAGTTATAAGATAGCCAAAACCCATGCTTGTACCACAATTTTAACTTAAGATCAAACTCAAGCGCAAAGGCATTGGACGAGATTCCAAACTACTACATCGGTGACTAACTATTCACACCATTTGTCTTACAGATTGCATTACTCTATCAACCAAGAGAATGTTGTAGATTCCCAGAAACCAATTTTTCCAAAAGAAGAAATCGATTTGAATGTAAGTACCTCTGATATTGATTCTTCCAGGTTTCAAGCAGTGACTGACTGGACTGGACCTGATCAACAGAAGGAAGCTGGGGAGCGAGAAGATCGAGATTGAATTGCAGAGAATTGAGAAGAGAGAGACCATCCTGAGCCAATCCGTTGAGCCTTTGCAGCGATACCTTCTCCTCTCCGCCTCTTCTCCTTGATTTGCCGTAATCTTGTATCGCCATGATATGTTCGATCGTCTTCTCGTACGCATCATCCCATTCTCTCTTCGCCTTCTCCACTTCAACTACAACCTCGTCCATGTCTCAACTGCGAACTACATAAATCTCCGAAATTAATGTGAAGGATCCAGGCACAGATCATCAATCAATCTCCGAATACCAATCTGATAAATCAAAATCTCTCTAAGAAACACTTATCATCACCACCAAAGCAAATTCATCCATCTAAACAGAGGCATAGGAATCAGAATGTAATTGCTTCTGTATGGATTACGATCTTTACCAGATTTTCATCAAAAGACTCAATTGATATTAAACCCATAAACTAAGAGCTACGGGGAAACAAAAGTAGCTATGAGATATGAATGCAGAAGCAAAATGATGGAATCCGAAGGAAACAGCTTACATTCGTCGAAAAAAAATCGCGAAAAAGGATTGAAGAGGAGACTGATGCTGAAGAAGATCGGCAAACAAGAGCGAGCAGAGAGTCTGACGATCAAAATCGACCCGTAGAAAGAAAGGATCAAAATTCAATTATGAGGAAGAGAAAGAAGCAAAGGGGAAATATCGATTTTTGTAAAAAAAAAACACGAGGGTTTGTGATTAGGAATTTAGGAGAATTACTAAAAGAAAATTAACAATAGATGATACATTTCTCAAATCATATATCTTTACATCTCATTTTAGATTAATAGAAATCCAATTTGTATTCTTTAGATTAGTAGTTGTTAAACTTTTTTTCGACTCGTAAAAAGAGCTTCTCTCTCTTCTCTCTCTCGATCTTTCAGAGAGTGAAGCTTTTTTTTGTTTAGTTTTTCCGTTAATTCAATAATAAATTCCGGCATGTCCGGTTCTTTGTTCAATAATCCTTCCGTTTATCGGATTTTGTTTTTTACTTTCTTTTAGTATGTTTTCAATTTTAGATTCCAGGCGATTTTGATGAATTTCTTGTCCATTGGGTTCTTGGTTTTATTTTCTAAAGAGTAATTCCTTGCTTTTAAGCCGATTGTTTTTAGTTAAATCGAAGCACATGTTTCTTTTGGTGATGTAAAATCAAGTTGGTGGGAATTCAATTGGGTGATTATGTTGCAATGTTGCAGAGTCTGCAGATTTTACGTTTTTTAAAACGGTCTAGAGAATATTCTGCTTCAAATCTGCCGATGAATTCTAAGGATATTTACTAATGGTGTGAGAAAGTTTTATCATCTTCTAATGGTTCATACATGCAGAAGGCATGAGCAGAATCGACCAAAGCAGCAGCGTGAAGAGATCATTTGGATGCAAATTCCGACAAGGATGAAGATTCATGTGAACAAAGCGGCGCTGCACTTTTCATCTCGAAGCCACACGTGTTATTGGGTTAGGTTATTAATTTGTTACATGTGTAAACACGTGTCTACGCCTTTATACTTTTAGACTTAAGACTTTGTTTCGTGGGCTAAGTTTGAGATGTATGTGCTCTTCTCTACCATTAATGGGTTTGTCCATTTGGGCTTTAATACAACAGACGGCAAAAAAAAAAAGATTAGTAGTTATTACTTTAGATAAAAATATTAACATTAATAAAAAATAATTATAACATATTTATTAACCTAAAAAATTTTAAAATTGATTATTTCTTAATTTTTAGGTTGATATTTTTTTCTATCGTAATTAAATACAGATTATGATAAATCAAACAATAAATTTATCTGAACATGTATAAAATGTATCTAATAATTTTTGTGATTGATTTTCACAAAAAAAATGTGAAAAGTAAAATAAAGAAGAAAGTAAAAGTTTAGACAAAAAAAAAGAAGAAAGTAAAAAAGTTAGTAGAAATAGAGAAAATCATGTTTATCTTAATTCCAAAACTGCAGAAAACACATTTTAAACTCTGCATTGAACGCATATATGATAGAACAAACAGAATGTATATTTTAGGTAATCACAAAACATAAAAAATTATTGAGACACGTTCTAAAACTCATAAAACATTTAAATTAAAAAGAATATATATTCTGAATAGCTGCAGAATATAGTCAAACTACAAAATATATGTTGTAAAACATTAAAAAACACAAAGAACTCACATTCTAAAATTTGCAGAACATATCAAAATTATAGAATATGTATTCTTTACCGTCTTTACTTTGTAGAACATATTATAAACTTTTTTATAAATATTTTTTGTTACATTTACTTAAATAATTTTTATTCTCTTTAAAACTAGTATTAAGAGAATAAATTGGATAAATATATATGATTTTGTGGTATTTTAAGCACATTTGTGCCTACAAAACTCAAATTGTAATTAAAGGCAGAAGATTAAAGAAAAAGTGTTCTACAATATATTTTAAGAGCTTTATTTTCTCCGTATATGATAGATTATTTACTCTAGTATTCATTAAAAAAGGAAAATGGGTCCCTTACTCTTCTTTTTCTTCGTATATAATAGATTATTTACTCTAGGATTCATTGAAAAAGGGAGATGGGTTCAATTAGAGGGAAATGAACACATTTTCTAAAAGGCCGGAAATCAGCAAAGGATATGAAAATTTCTTAAAAACAAAAAGATGAAGAGGTAAAAGTAAAGTAAATAAAATCGGGAAAAAATATCAACAGTTTCCTAAGAAGACGCGTGTCAAGATTTTTACAATCTTGCCGTCTGGCGAACCCTTCGTATTTCCCGCTAAAAGCAGAAACCCTAATAGGTTGGAGTATTTAATAAATAAAAATGCCACGTGGCGAATCCGCTTAAAGTCTAGCCGAACTGGCTATCACAAAAGCAATGCTCTTGACAAACTAACAGTTCTTGCAAGGTCAGACCCGTCTATAACCTCATGAAGTCCGTCGACCTGATTTACAATCAGTCTCGCCGAACGGGGGGGGGGGAGGGGGGGGAGGGGGGGGGGGGGGGGGAGGGAGGGGGGGGAGGGGGGGGGGGGGGGACTTACTGTTAGAGGGGAAATGAGCACATTTCTTAAAAAGCCTTTCTCACAATAACCTAAGCCCATCACGACCAGGAAGACCACGCCGACCTAGCTCGGATTAAAGGAAAACTCTTAGAAGATAATTATCGAAGACCGGAAACATCGGATTAATCCAAAGGATAAAGGAGAATTTCCTTACTTCTCGAAGAATAAAAAATATTTCCATATTTGTGATATGGAAATATACAAGAAGACAAAAAGGAAAAGGAGTTCGGAGTAACCGACCTCCCACTCCTATAAATACAAAGGTCCCGAAGACGGAAAGAACAACTCATACAATCTAGAGAGCAACAAAGCTAAAACCAGAGACTCCAACGCTTTCTAGTTTACTTCGCAAACTTTCTTTTCACTTCGGCATAACCTCTCGGTTATACCTTTCTTTGTAATCGCTACGCGTTCTTACTATTAATAAAAAGATCTTATTCTCCGAAACCCACAACTGTTAATCAAACCCTAGTGGTGATTTTCTGGTTCAACAATTGGCGCCGTCTGTGGGGACTAGGAGAATAAATTCTTAAAAAAAAAACAAGTAAGAAAGCCGAAGCGATGAGCCTCCCCGTCAACGACAGCGATCTCATCCATGATGACACCACTCACACCGAGACACCAGCTCTCGAAGAACATACGAACGTCACTACCGCGAATCCACCCACGGGAGCACCCCCAGCTCCCCTCCTGGCCACTGACCTCGCAGAAGCCATCCAGGCCGCCATGCAGCCACTCACTCAGGACTTGGTGTCCAAACTAGACACCTTCCAGGCCCAGCAGGCCAAATACGACGAGCAACTCAGCGCTTTCGCAGCTGCGACAACTGCAAGATCAGAGCCGATAGGACGGCGTTTGATCTTCGAAACACCGATGCAAAACAACACCCGGAGTACAGCAACCGATGATGAAGAGCCCTTTGGCGAACTTCATCAGCGGATCAATGCGATCGGGTCCCAAGTCCATCGAGCCACCAGTTCGGCACCCGAGATCTCTGCCATCCTCTCAAATGCAGAACGCAACCCATTCGCCCCACGGATCACCGATGTATGACTCGGTGAGGCAATAAAACTAAAGCTCCTATACTACAACGGGATGGAGGACCGGATTCAACGTCGCCATAAAGAGGCAACGATTCGAGACCGACCTCGAACGCAAAGCCAACCACTGCCAAACCTTTGTTGAACACCTCAACAAGGACGCTTTGAAGTGGTTCTCCAATCTACCCCCTGCCTCGATCAAATCCTTCAAGGATCTGACTCACGCCTTCATCAAGCACTACTCCATGTTCATCACAAAGAGGACGGTCAACCTGTTTACTCTGGTACAAGAGCACGACCAACCACTTCATGACTTCATCGAAAAGTTCAAGAACACCGCTGCGGCATACAGACAAATCCCTCAAGTTTTAGCTATCGAGGCACTTATGAACGACCTATGGTACAAATCTCCGCTCAAAGAAGATCTGCACAAAAACCCGAGGGAAACCATAGAAGATGCCCTTCACCGAGCCCAAATCTTCATACGAATGGAAGAGGAGAAAAATTTCTACGCTAAAAAGTATGGCATTACGAATACTTCAAAAGAAAAAGATCCCGCGAGTAAAAGCAAGCCCTCCTCTCACGCTGTTGTAGTGACCACAGAGAAATCCGGGCATCAATGGGGCACAAGGATCACAAGCGATAGGGAAGATAATCACGACCTCTACTGCTCCTTTCACGGACGAACAGGACACGCTACCTCGGCCTGCCGACACCTCCACAACATGCTGTATGAACGATACAAAGAAGGCAGAATCAACATTGAATGTGATCGATCCCGGAGTAAAAACACCTACTCACGCAGTTCAAACCCCAGGGACTCGAGTCGGTCCACTTCCACCCGAGATCACAGGGATCCGGGAAAAAGCAGCAATCGAGACGGTTCCGGAGGAGGGCGCCGAAGTCGCACGCCCGAAAGGAGACACGAAGAAAAGGAAATGGAGAAGGGAGCAGAGCGCCAAAACGACGAAGGAGAACACGAAAACCCACCTCCTCCACCGAAGCGACGGGTTAATATGATCATGGGAGGACTCCCCGATTGCGATGACTCGGTCCGTGCCATCAAAGAGTATGGACGAAAAGCAG